CACCCACGCAGGTGAGCACATCGGCTGACCGCATTGAGGAGTTTCGCAAAAGACTTCGACCTGACCTCAGGCCGCACGTATCTACTATTCAAACTATGGATTTAATTGAGGCGTACGATCTAATCTCCAAAGCCGAAAAAGATCTAAGTGATTACTATGAAAGTCTGAAGAATAAAAATGTCAATCCAAATGAACGACCAAATTCAAGTGGGAAGAGACCCCTGTAAGAAATTGATTGTGCCATACACTCGAAAAAGGGAAAATCAATGACAATTCAATCGATGTCATCCATGAACAAAATTAGGGTATGGAAACATCCAAAGTGTAATGTTTGTAAAAGACACCATCCGGGAGATTGCTAGCTTGCACAAGGATTATGTCTAATTTGTGGTGAACCTGGACATTTCCAACGAGAATGTCCCTTTAACCCTGAATCATATTCAGTTACTTCTGTCCAAAATCAACATGTTCGCTCAGGAACAAGTCAACGTTCTAAAACACGAAAAAAAATTCAAAGAATCCAACCCAAGGATGATACTATGTGAAGATCCTAAAGTGCTACAAGACACGAGGATATATTGAATAATGTAGAAACCTTATGTAAACAAGAAATTATCTTTCGATCTCAAGAATATTCGTATTTTCTTGAAACCTACGTGTGTTGAAACCATTGTATAATGAAATCTTTCATTTGATCCATCTTGAGAAAATATTTGAGATTTACATGATGCATTCTGATGTTGAAAATAGATATTTTCTGACTTGCACTGGCCATGCAACTTAGAATAATATTTATGGTTAACTCATAATGTTCATGGACAATATTATTCCAACATAAATTCAAATGAAATTACATAAAGTAATATTACAAATGCAACTCTAAGTCTAATGCCCCAGGATTTATGAACTCGTCATAACTAGCCCTAGGACCTGGAAAAGCTTTAGCAAACGCTAGCTTGTCTAAAAACTCATCAATAAAGAAAGAAGAGATGAAAAGTTTTCTCTGACTCGAAGCCATGAAGTTCTGCCTCACCGCGTCATCTAGAAATTTGATTAGGTTATTAAAATAACCGTCAATGTTCAAGAGACCAATGGGTTTACTGTGCAACCCTTCGGATGCCCATGAGATCAAAGTGAACAAACCTTCCATAGTATCAATCCCTCCAGGAAGTATGATGAAAGCCTCTACAACATGATTCATCTCGAAATACTTATAGTAGTTGCTTGAAACTGTGTATTCTGCACCATACGTAGGTCCGTAGACCTGTCGTGCTGCTATGTACCCTGGTATGAAGCCTCTAACTATACCACCATTGGTATAGATTGTTGAAGCAACAGCTCCTTGAAGGCCAGCGTTGCCTCCTCCATAGGTAAGTCTAATTTTTCGCCTTACCAATTCCCTTTCTAAATCCACCGCCGTAGCCATGAACTTTGGATTTCTACCAAGAGAATGACTACCAAGTAGACCAACGAATTTTATGGTGTAAGGAAAAGTTCGAGATGTTCCTTCCATAATGTGAGAATGTGAAATGCTCTGGCCACAATCGTGATATATATAGGCT